CCAAGTAAGTTTTACCCTACCGCCTCATCGAGTTACATAATATATATGCTACATTTTACTTTAACAGTAGTGCATCATCTAGCTACGTAAATGAAACAAGTGCATTACAGTGCATTATTTGTCGACATTTGATCGAAGTATTTTTAATTAGTTTTACTAGTCATTCATTCTTCATGATCATAAGTGAATATGTATGTTGTAATGACTGAAATTCTATTAGTTTGTGATGCAGGGAAAGAAGAATGTCTGAAATATAAAGTTGATTGCGAGTTTTAGTGAGAGATAATGAATTAAAGCGCGATGGATCCATGCATGAAGACAACCTTTCTCATCATTTGATGTTTCATTTTTTTATTCATTGTTATGTAAGTTTTATTTTATATCATTGTGGGCACATCTTTAATTGTGTTTAATTTTATTATTTTAAATTCTTTCGCAAAACGTAAAGGTTTCTTTTATTCAATAAAATGTTCAATTTTTGTTTCAAATTTTTATTCTTCCAGTCATATTCCTTAGACCATTCATAGCTGGGTATTTTAGATACCTCTCATGAATCGAAGGCGAAATTTAAAAATTGATAAAAATTGTGATGATAAATATTTAAAAATTAGAAGCCATATGTAAGCTACAAATAATATCTATGGAAAAAAAAATGATAAAAATACTGAAACTAATTATATTACGAGGTATATACATGGTGACTTTAAGACCGGATTTGTTTTCTTTTCATTATTAAAAAAAATATTGTACATCGCTAGACAATCATTCTAATGTTATTTGATTGAAAATTCAGATATTTTATTTATTTAAGAAAGTAATTAATGGACACACATGACCAGATCAGTAGATCAGACGTGTTATTATTATTTGATTCACTTGCTTGTTATGATAGATTTTAATTTATTTTAGTATTATTTACTCCAAATCTTATAACTAGTATTTCCCTGTGAGATGCACAGTGGCCGGTTCGAAGATCAAAATCGATTAATCTAAAAAATTATAGAAATTTAACATGATCGATTTTTTTTAACAAATTCGTATGATGTCATTTTATTATCAAAAGTTTTCATAGATATGAATTGACAACGTTGGAAACACCAAAATGTCACAACTATTTCCATGAAAACAATCGAATCAATACACCACTCAAGGCATTATATTAATAAAAAAAATCTTCTTGGAACGGACAACGGCGGACAACGTATTCCAAATAAATGTCTTCCGAATGCCACCATAGTCGTACATAAAGAACAAACCTCCATTGTTCTACAACATTGCATCAATGGTCGTGTCATAAACATTTTTTTTGTCTGAGGTGTGATTGATGATAGCGCACATTCCAAACACGTCGTAGTCCAATTCATCAAGAATCGATTCTTTGTAAACTCTGTCGGTACAAACATAGGGGCACAGTTACGTAAACTCTTACCGTCGTCGTTCTGTAGTATTTTATAAATTTCGATAAACGCATTTGCCGTGCTTGTACCCGATAGAGTACAAACTTGAAGAATTACGCATTTATCGAGATTGAGACTACAGAGCAACGGTAAGAGTTTACATAATGCATGTACCGATAGAGTCAACGATAGACACCACATAGATTGATTCTTGATGAATTAAATTACCACATCTTAGAAATGCGCGCTATCGTCGATCATACAATATCAAAAAAAAAAGTTTGTGACACAATCATGGATACAATGTCGAAGAATAGTAGAGGTATTTTCTTCGTTGCATGGTGATAGCGAGAAGACATTTATTTGGAGCACGTTGTCCGCCGATGTACACTTCAAGAAGGGAATTGTTATTAATGTTGCCTCGTATTGCATCGCTACTGCTTCTAGGTGGTAGAACAAGGCATTCTAGATTCAGACTCTTGATAGTGCATGAGAGATCCACATCTACCACTAAAGAACAAAGTCCTCAACCAGAGCTGTTGCTTGAAGGCAAACTTATACGGGATGAGGCGCCAATGATGATCGATTTTATTCTAAAACACTGGACAAGTGATACGCGTAAAACCTACGTATGAAAAACCGCAAGTGTACACTATCGCGCACAAGAAAAACAAGTTTTAACAACATTATTTTAACAACACGTGCATAAGATGTGTTGTTAATGTCGATAAATAACAACATTCTTGGTAGGCGTGTTGTTGTTTATAGCAAATCAAAGTAATTTACAACACGCCGCTCGTGCAGCCTGTTAAAACAACTTACAACAAGTCGAAATTCATGTTATAGAAAAAATATTATTTTTTTTTAAATTTTATTAGAACGACAAAATGGGCCGCGACTTGTCGTTTCTTTTATTCATTATATTGAAAACACGGGCTCCTTAGGTCAAGAGTTCGAAATTCTCTCTCCCCCAAGCGTATAGGTTATTCCTTAAAAAAACCGACCACGACTTTTTCCAATCTCCATATATGTCGTGCCCCTTCCAATCTTATAATTCCATAGTTTTCCTCTTTTTTTTTTTTTTCTCTGGAGAAGGGTTTTCAATTGAACAAAAGGGGCTTCATCTCCCAATGAAGAAGAAGAAGAAGAAGAAGAAGAAGAAGAAGAAGAAGAGCACGGTACCTTTTTTTGCCCTCCCAATTGTTAATTTTAATAAATAAAATATCAATCTCTTGAATCTCGTTCTTTTGTATGGATATATATTTTAGGATTAGCGATACTCCATGGATTTTATTTTTAACGGTTCATCATTTTCCCTCTTTTTTCTATAATAAGATTTTCAATTGAAGAAAAGGGACTTCATCAATTTTTTTTTTCCGGAAACAAATCAAGATCTTGAAAACTATCTTGAATTTTGTTGGCTAATTTGTATGAGCTTATCAGTTTTGCTTAGGCTTTTTCTATCTTGAATAATAAACGCAACTACTCAATATTACGAAATGTTGAGGTATGAATTATAGTACTGGTCTGAACCTATGCTGTTGTTATTTGTTCATCTTATTTAAATAGAATTTTCTAATCAGGTCTCAACCTATGAATAATCTTGATGGATTTTTTTTTGATTGAAAATATATTTTATTGTACCGTAATTACTGAAAATTTTCTTTTCATTTAGGACCAAATTCTCTTCGGAAGAAGAATAACACGGTAATTTTATCTTCCCCTCTTCCAATTGTTAATTTTAATTTTCTAAGAACCCTAACTTGGAGGATTTTTTTCTTCTTAAAATTGCAGTAAGTACCAATCTATTAAATATCCCTTCTTTTTGTGGACAGTGAATATACGGTTTAAGAAAAGATTTCATAAACCACTTTTGCTATATTATGATGACTTACTAAAGAATTTTTTTTTATTTTGTTTCAGGAATATCCTAGGATTAAGCCTCTGTAATCAATCCATTGAGGTCGGAGGACTTGACAAACATAAACTAGCAAACTAACAAATTTTGGTAAGAATATGTTTTATTCTCGGTAGAGAGGTTGACATCAAATCTGCTGATTGGGTTTCGCTTTGACTATTTTTTATGTTCCTTTTAGTAGATTTTTTTCTCATAGTCAACAGTTCCGTACTTTAATCAGTCTAAAGTATTTGACTTTCGAGATTCTGGTTTTGTTAGGAGGATTGATGCCAAATTCGGAAATTACTACTTCAATTATAGCAGTGTGGTAAGTATTATATTACATAAACTTTTGGTATTCGTCAAACATAAGCTTGCTCATCAATCTAAAAATATTCTAATTATTTATTTTTGAAATTGTATATCCAGTGTGAAAAAAGAGACCATCTTTCACATCAATGCTTATGGTCCAACTGCTGCAGCTAGGTAACAACAAAAGATAAGAGCTTCTCTTTGTCTCTCTATCCCTCTTGTTCGTGAATTTCTCTTATTACTAATTTTCATTTCTTTTTTCTTTTAGTACAAGGGTGTTGAACGAGTGAGCAAAAAATCGTAAACTTTTTATTCATGACAGGGAGGTTGGCATTGATGTCAGATGGTAGATAGAGATGTTAACATCAATGTCCTGTACAAGAGCTCTTAATCAAACAAAATGATTGTTGGTTTTCTTATTCTTTGTTCTTTTTAATTTCGGTTGTGGAAGGCTTGACACTAGTATAGATGAGTTTATTATTGTTGAGAATAATGGAGAATTTTTTATAATGAATAATTATTTTAAAAAATGATATTTTTTCTATTTTTTATGCATAATTATTATTTATATTATTATATAAGTAAAAACTACAACATACATATAATGATGTGAAATCTCTATTACAAGATGCACCGGTGTGTGGTGGTAATACAAGACACAAAATGCATACGGATGTTGTAAATGCTATAGCGCAACATCCGGTGCATGTTGTTGAAATGCCGTTCACCACTTGCATCACACGTTGCTATTATCTCATCACTTTTAACAACATGTTGGTCTACCAAGTGCGTCTGTATGTTGTCAATATGGTTAGACAACTTGCATCGCGTCTTGTTAAAAGGACTTTTTCTTGTAGTCGCGTTTTGTAGAATAGTGAATTCCCGATATCGATTCACAGGAAATTAAATTCCTAAATTTACTAAGTACCGTAATTATACTATCATAAACTTTATCTAGACGGTCAAGAATGTATGGAAGAAATGAAATTAAGGGCTACCCGAGCTGCATCACGTCTCCGTTTCCACAACCCGAGCTATGTTTTCCTAAAATCAAACGTGAAATCCTCTCTCGAGTTCATTCCCATTTACAATCAATTCAACTGTTGGACAAACAATCGAAAACATTTAATACATGAAAACATAAACATAATCAAAGAACGACAAATAAATCACATATCTGGAAATTAAAATCAATATATACAAGGTTTCATTTCCCCAAAAGAAAATGCTCAGTTCATTACAAACATAGCATCAAAATGAAAAACATGAGAAATCATAAATTAAACGTAAAGAAAAAAGCTTATGAAAAACCCGAGTCGAAACCCCCGTCGAAGCTTCTCGCGAAGAACTGGCGAAAACTGAAGAAAAACCGAAAAAGAGGTCCTGATATTTAAAAATGAAAAAGAGACCTTCTATTTATAGAAAGAAAACAAAGAAAAACATCTGATCTCGATTTCTGTGCCCAGATCGCGATCTGGGCTTCTTGGATCGCGATCTGGCAGCCTAGAAAACTGTACACCGCCTTGCCAGATTACGATACGGGATTGTAGATCGCGATCTGGTTCTTGATCAAAAAAACCTTGTGTAAGACCCCCCAGTCGCGATCCAGAAAAGTGGATCGCGATCTGGCTGTCTGCGTCAACTTCAAACCCTGTATTTACCCTTTTGTAGCCCGCATTTGACAGTTTTGCATTTCACAAAAGTTGTAGGCCCTGCAGTTAGCTTTCTAAGGCCACTTGAATCAGCTCAATTGGGGGTCGTACGCAAAAGTTATATTTGAAATACCAAATACTGCTACAATCCGCGAGAATGCACTTTTGCACGTGTTTGGTTTGATTTTCGGCTTCGTTTCCAAAATCGTTTTGAATCGGAAAAAATAGCTTATCTTTACCTTAAATAGAATTAAACAAAAACAAAATAATATATACAAATAAAGCCGAAAACTCGGACAAACGAAGACCTAAAATCGAAGAATTGATAAGTGAAAATCATGCAAAATGAACACTTATCACACCCTCAAACTTAGACCTTTACTCGTCCCGAGTAAATCAAAATAAAAATACAACATAAAAGAACAAAAACAACAAACTAAATCTTTGCCACTAATGTAGGGAATCACGATTGCATTTAGCGTATGCAACAAGCCTTTGAACCCCTGGGTACCTCCAAATGACGAGTGGTGTCTCGTAAGGGTTTTCAGACAATACACCGACAAAGTTGCCAGATTGGTCAAAGCATTGCAATTAATTCCAAAGATAAAACAAGCTAGATGACCTAAAATCTTAGACTATCATACGGCTCAAGAATTTGTATTCGCTACCGACGCAATTAGTTGTTTCTACACCAAAATATTAGATAGACTCAAGAATCCGTAATCAAACACAAAGAACAATCATCGAGGGTTTTGAGTAGAAATGTGGACGAAAAATTATTTTTGACTTTGAAATTGAAAACTTGAATCGGGCATAAGTAGGTCTATTTATTCAATAAGAAAACGCCAGCAATTTGTTTTTGGCGATTTTCATCACAATTTTTTTTTTTTAATGTGATACAATCGTGACTTGTGTAAGGTTCGACACCGCTGTGTTATCTCTCTGACCCATATATCGAACTTTAGTCCAGGAAACCCCCAAGCTAGTTAGCTCGAGTGACTAGGCGACAAAGTGCACCCAACGGGTTAAGCTCGAGTCAGAGAGGCCGGGAAATCAAAGCGTGAATCACGACAATACCATTTTTTTCTCTTTTTTTTTAAGCAACACAACACCATAAAGTAAAAACGTAAAGACAATAATGATTTTTTTTAGCCAACAACTCGAATCGTGAAAACATAGTTCAATTCTTACTCACCCCCAAACCTCAGACTATTATACCCCTCAGAAAAGTGTCCTCATGCTTAATCGAAAAAGATTCGAAAGGCTCCAAAAACAAGTTGCAGAAATGCAGTCGGAAGGTTCATCTATTAATTACCGGCTATGCACAACTTTAATTTTAAAATCAACTAGCAAGTCTACTAATTCATTAATTGCTCTACTTCAATAGAATCCGGAAATGCAACTTATACTCGATCCTATATGAAATGCATGTGACAAACATAACACCAATACGTAAATCAAAATACATAAATGAAACTACATTATATGATATGCATGCAAAAGACCAAAAAGAAAATAAGCTAAACGCACCCCCAAACTTAAATCATCCATTGCCCTCAATGAGAAAAATAAAAGATATGAGAAAGAAATACGCCCTCAACAGTCGTGCTGCAGATTGATCAGTGTTCTATGGTGGCGAAAGTGCTTTTTGGTTGCATGGGGTGCCGTGGATTTTGGCATCGAGGGAAAATTGCCGAAGTTGTCTAGAATTTCCAACTTCTTACTTTTCTTTCCTAGGGGACGAGATACCGGCAAAAATCAAGAAAAGTGGTGAAATTTAGCTTTAAAGAAAAAAAAAACAAAACAAAATGACAAAAACAAAGAAAATAAAATGACGATAAATAAATAATGGGTTGCCTCCCATTCAGCGCATGTTTTACTGTCGACGGCTAAACACAATTTGGACGGATTATGTCCAATCCAAAGCCTTGTAGATTGCGCATCCATATCAATCTTGATTCATACTTTGCAATCATATCATGGACTAGATTGCAATCATGTAGTGCCCATCCCATCCCATGGAACTTCTCGTTTGCTTTGGAAATCAGTCGGTAGGAGACTAGAATGGGTTGCTTGCCTACTGATCTCTCAAACTCGTACACAAGACATTCGAGCTTTGGAGTATGCTCACACTAAAATTTAGAGTTACGATGTGGATAGGATATTTTTCGTCAAATTCTGCATCTACCATCATTTTCATCCCACTCTCATCACACGCAAAAGTATCTACAGAACTGGAATGAATAATTCCATCAAGGTTCTCAGCCTCGTCGTTCATACAAAAATCTGTAAATACCTCGTTGTCTTCATATATGGTCGAATGTGGTTTCGGACTGTGATATCTTTCAAAATTTTCGAAAAGATTTGCCAAATAGTTGAGTTCTTCATGTAGATAGCAGAAGTGCTCATTTGTTTGTCCAATTCTATTTTCTGGGTTCAACCTTCGAT